ATTTAAAATGAATGATATACATGATAAAAAGCAAATGAAACTTATTATTGAGAGGCTTTGATTTTATCAATCTTCTAATGAGTTTCAAATGCAAGTTTCAAGATGGTCATTCAACTAACCTCTAATTTCTAACAATTGACTTTACTTTATGCTCTTTACTTTAAGCACATTTACTTTATCATTTATATTTCATGCTATTTTCATCTTTGCTCACTTGAGCATTTACTTTTATGTCATTTTTATTTTTCTCACTTGAGCTTTTCACTTCTTCTTGAAGATACTTAATAATCAACTCGAACCATAAAAACTTTAATGTTACTTGGACTACTTGGTTACTATCCTTAGCATTATGGAGATTGTGGAATTCTTGAACTTAGGATTATAAACCTTGACCTACCTTGGGACCTTGTGACCTCAACTGTTATTTTTTCTGGAGTTCTTGGGGTTTACCCTAAGACATTGGGTTGTTTGTTTTCTTTGTATGCAGGTTATTGTGATTACATGCTTTGTCTGTGATCGAAAATTCATTTGTATACAGCAGTTACTCTGCCCAACTTTTGTGAAGACTTAATGCAATTGAAGCTTGGTTTTCTTAAGGGGTTTATTATCTTTGCTTGTATGGTTTCAATCCAAAGGATGAAAATTCTATATTGGCTCATTATGTCAAGTGTTGGCTTCTTGTTGCTTAGACGGTTCTTTTCCCTAGCTTTTACCTTGTGCTTTAGGATAGTCCCTTCATCTCCTCTCACCTTCTTTAATTTCAAAAATCTTCTCCCTCCTTTTGAAAACTCTTCTTGTTTTTAAACTTAAACCGCTTTCACAATAAACTTGGACTTAGGTCCATGCCTTTTCAAGATATTTTCTTAATCAAATTTTAACCAATTTAATAATACTTTGACATTTTTGTGAGAATACTAAAAGTCAATCAATCTCATTTAAACCATTTTGCTATTTTGGCCTTTTACTTTAAAATTTTATCAAAAGATTAGACTCTTGACAATCCTTGTAGTGATGCGAGCTACTATACTTCCAAGATATGTAGTGAAGTGAGATATTTTCCACTTGGGTGTTGAGTGAGGCTTTGTTGATTTTAGAATTCAAGTTATATCCTCCACTTTGAGATGACACAAATTCTCCTTCCTTATAATCGTGGGTAGTAAGTATGTTTTCCACTCAGATACGACGATGATGTCTCGTCTCTTAAAATTAACCAACACACTTGTGTTTTAAAATTTTTTCTAAAGGTGAACTTCGAGTACCCTGATCCCCTATTGCATAGAAGGTGGTACGTAGGAACTAAAGGTTCACAACCGCGGCGGGTGCAAAAAATTGTAAAAAAAATATTTCTTTTCTCACCTCCACCATCTATTTTTGTATACAACATTTTATAGCCAAAATACACAAATTTTCAAAGAGGTTTCTGCAGAGTACCGTAGATGTTTAGGGGTGCTAATATCTTCCCTTTGCATAACCAACTCCCGAACTTAGATTCTCTCCCCCTCTTTTGGGTTATTCGCTCTTTTCCAATTCCTTTGGAAACAATAAAGCACAATGACGATTTTTATTTGATCTGTGCGAGTCAAGTCAATCCAATGGCTTAGTCTCAACATTTTTACCGCTAAAAGTATAGGGTGGCACCACCTCATACACAATCCCTTCTTTTTCACATAACCTGTCAAAGTTTTTCGCCTCATACTCTCCATCACCACCAGTTCTAAAAAATTTGAGCTTTTGACCACTTTGCCTTTCGACCATAGACTTAAACTTGGCAAATACCTCGATCACTTCACTTTTCTTCTTGATCAGGTAAGTCCATAGTTTTTGACTGAAATCATCAATGAATGTAACAAAGTATTTGTTACCTCCTATCGAATCCACCTGGATTAGTCTACATACATCAGAGTACATGACTTCGAGAATAACCTTCAACCTGCTTCTTGCATCCTTGTTGAAGCTATTTTTGTGCTGCTTCACCTCCACACATTCCTCACACACTTCGTTTGAAATGTCAATTACTGGTAATCCTGAAACCACATTTCTTCTTTTCAAATCTCTGATGTCTCTGAAGTTGAGATGGCCTAGTCGATAATGCCATATCCATTCATCTCTGTTAGCTGTAGTCAAAAGGAACTTGTGCTCTATCACATTAAGTTCAATCTTGAAGGTTCTATTTTGAGACATGGGAGCTTTCAAGATTAACCTTTCATTTACGTCAGCGACTCTCATCATCTTGTCTTTGATTGACACTTTGTAATTTTTTTCGACCAACTGCCTTATGCTGAACAAGTTGCTCTTCATGGCTGGTATATACAACACATTGGAAATTACTGACCTCTTGCCATCTTTCCTCATAATCATAACATCACCAATACCTTCAGCTGCTAGGGTATTGTCATTTGCAAATTTCACCGTGTTCTTCATCGAGGATTTTATATTGACAAACCAATATTTCCTTCCAAACATGTGTAATGAGCATCCTGAATCCAAGTACCATTAGTCCTTGAATCTATCTTCATCTTTTGTTGTGACCATCAACATCATCTCTTATTCTTCATGTTTTGTAAACTTTGCATCATTTTCTTGATTCTTTCGCTTTTCTGGATAATCACTCAAATAATGACCATACTTTTGACAATTATAACACTGAATGTGACTCTTGTCATATTTTCGACCACCATCTCTTCCTATATTCGCAACACCACCTCTTTGGATTGCCTTGGTATGGTCTTCTTTGATTCGACACATTTTCTTCATGTTGATTTCCTCTACCAGTCGAATTGTTGTAGTCACCTTTACCTTTGTTGTCGAACCACTTTCCCTTGCCTTTCTTATCTTTTACTGATTGAGCCTGCAAAGCCACATCACTCTTCGACTTACCTGCAACTCTTTCAACCATTCTTTGTTCGTGAGATTCAAGCGTCCCTTGAAGCTCTTCCTTCGACAAAGATGACATGTCCTTCGACTCTTCCATGGAAACTACCACATGGTCTAACTTTGGAGCCAAAGATCTTAAGATCTACGAAATAACTGCTCTTGTTGCTAACGTCTCTCCACAAGTATTGATTTGGTTCACTAGTTTCGTAACCCTAGTGAAAAAAATCAGATATGCTTTTGCTAGCTTCCATCTGAAGCAATTCATACGTTCTTTTGTGAGTTTGTAACCCCACCTCTTTCACCTTCTCAGCGCCTCCAAACGATTTCTTCAGAATCTCCAAAGCTTCTTTTGCAGATTCAACATCACTAACCTTTTTGAAATTGTATGGGCTGACACATTGGTGAATTATAAAGAGAGCTTTACAATTCTTCTTCTTCGATTCTTTGTATTATGCTTCTTCTTCTTCTGAAGCGTCTTCATCAAGCGGTTCTAATCCATGTTTCATAAGATCCCAAAGACCTTGAAAACAGAATATAACCTTAATATATTTGCACCAATTCTCATAGTTATCGCCTTTAAGAATTGGGAGACTTATTGGAAGATTTCTGTTAGCGTAATTCATCGCCATCGTAATCTTCTTCTTCTTCTTCCTCGACCGTTCTTGATCGTTCTTACCTTGAATCACTCAACCAGAACTCTTGATACCAGATGTTGAAAATCCACCAAAACCTATGATGAATTTCTACCAATCTTAAACTAAATTAAATATGCGTTCAACATCTTCGACACATCTGCTTCGACAATCCCTTATCTCTGTCGAGCAAACTACTTTGACACAAAGAATTACTTTCAACAACATATAGCTTATCTATGTCATTAAGTAAAAATAAAATATGCTATACGTGTCCACTCCATTGTCCACGTAACATAGTTAAGGGTCTTTGTTATAAATTAAATTTTTTTATTTTACATTTTTAAAAATAAATTTATAAAAACTTTCTTTAAAAGGTTATTTTATTTTATTTTTACTTAATAAAAAAAATTAATTTTGACATGCAATAATATATATTTTTATTATTAAAAACTAAAACATAATCAAAATTACATAAATTTTAAAAAAATATATTTAAAAATTAAATTTTATAAAGAATTATTCCAAATAATTTTAATTTTAAGTGATTTTTTTTCAAAATTTTGATATTTTTAAAAAGGCATAGCAAAATGATAAACTATTTAAAATAATATATTTAAAAAAAAATATAAAGTAAAATTTATTTTATAACTTTTTTAGCAAAAATACATATAATACTATTAAAATTATCTAAAATATTCAGAAATAATCTCTAAATCAGACAAATTACTATTTAAATTTTTGAGATTTGTTAAGAATTGTTAATAACTAAATAGTATAATTTTATTTTTTAATACAATATATTATACCGTATATTTTAAAATCATATATTCATAAGGAAAAATCTTAATAATTAAATAAACTCATAAATAAAATCAAATTTAATGACAAATCAGTTGTATTTTTGAGATTTTCTTCTCATATCTCTCATACCTTTTCAAATTTCAAAAATATTTTTATCAACCATTTCAATCCAAATCTATCAATTTTTAAATATAATTAATTGATATGCATCAATAATATAAAACAGTTTTTACACTGTCAATAAATCGTAGTCGTTAAATGTTTATTGAAATTTAACATTTATTTTAATTATCTATAAAATAATATTTATGAATAGTTATAATTTATCAATTGTATAAATTTTTTTACACTAATAATACATAATAATTAATCTATTTTAAATATACGTTCTAACAATATTAAACATCAAAGAAAAATAATTATATTTAAAAAAACTCACCACACCTAATAAATAACAATATATTTAACATATTATAGAATATAAATATCTATATTCAAAAACTACACATTTTCTCTATTTTCAAAACCCTTTGAAATTGAATTCACCATTTTCCCTCTTCAAAGTTCAACCAAACAAGCTCTGCTAGGGTTTCAAACTCAGGTAACCGCTCTTTCTCAATCCACATTTTCCTTCGACATTCTCACAACTGATTTCACCGTTCTTCACAGTTTTTTTGTTGTTGCTGAAGAATGGATCCAAAAGTGTGTGATGAATCAGTGAAAGAAGCTTCAGATTTCAAGTGTCAGAACATTCTCCAACCCATTGATGAATCGATTGTGTGTCCCACTCCAGAGAAGAAGACTGAACTATTACCCAACAAATTCAAGGACCCAATTGCCCAGCTTCCAGAAAAGTGAAAACCCTAATTAAATTTTACTCTTTTTCAATTTTTAAATGAATTTTTTTTATTGTTTTGTAGAAAAAAATGTAATTTATGTATTTCTTTTTGAAATTCAGTTACAGGGTCATTGCTGATTTGTTTAGGCATATGAGTTGTGCGCTTAGATTGCTGCATCTGCGTAAAAAGTCTCCAACTTTTTTAAATGTTTGCAGCAAGGTTGAAGTTCTTGCCAAAAGGTGATTGCTTTGTGTTTTTGTTTGAAGGTGATCGCATTTTGATATTTTCCCTCTAGTTAAGTAATCTTTATAAATTATGTGTATTAGTGTAAGTACATTAGTGTTGTTACTTGTTATCAAAAAGTTGATATAGCAAAGTATAGTTACATTGCCTTTTACAAAATGAGGGATGACATCAACTCTTTTTCGCCTTTGTCAAACAGAAACTAGGTTTTAAAATCGCCGCGGTCGCGTAAAGGCTTTCGCGATTTCGGTCGGTATAGGTGTTGCAGCACTGATTGCGGTCGTTGCGGTGTGAATTAACGACAATTTGTTCTTTATCGCAAAAATGGTGAAAAACGGTGAAAAACGGTATTAGTATCGGCATCTTCCGATACTGTTTTGTCGCGGCCGTTTTTGTGGTGTTTTAGAAAACCTTATAACGTAGCGGAATTTGAACAAACTGTTGTTTTCTGCTATCTACGGTTGACTGCACTGAAGTGCACCATATGCAGCTAACTTCTAGACTAGAGGATTCGTTTCTTTTGATTGATGGATTAAGGAAATGACTGTATTGTGTTTTTTTCTTCCAGAAACTTCTCACTTGCTGATCTAGCGCAGATGAAGTATATACTCCCTGAAGGTGTAGAAATTGAAAAGGTGGTTGTTATTGATAAGAAGAGCTTGTGTATGAAGCCGGATTTGAAGATAACCTTGGTTTTTGAAGTTGTAAAAGACCGCTCTGAACAGTCTGCTGATATAGCTCTTAGACAATATTTTAATTCCAGGCTGATTAATTTCTTTAATCTGCACCCTCAGGTAACCATTTTTATTTTGGGGTGTTGTCCTTGTTAACTGTATTTTTTGTATTTGAAAGAGTAATTTACAATATCTTAACCGTGGTATGGGATCTTATTCGATCGTTAGCTTTGATTTGGTTTATTATGTTAGATGCACAAAGTCCACAATTCTTAATCCAATCTGAGAGAAATCTGGAATTTCATTGATTCTGTCTGAGTTTTACATCTTGACAAGGTCCAACGTAATCAATATAATGCTGTCATTTTCTTGTAAATAGTCTGGGGATTATGGATGTCAAGATTACTACTGTGGTAGCATTTTGGTTTTGATTCTCTGCATAGTACTCTTTGTGATTCCATATGGTAGATAGATGTAAGCATGTTATACCTAGTTGAAAATGTGTTGATGTAAGAAAGTATTATTGTATGAAATTTAATTGAAAATGGATTAATGTTTATGAGAAATTATGAAATTTTGTGGCTACCGGTTAAGCTTACATTTTTGTAACTGCTTTGCCTTGGATCTGGTTTGGCTATATTTATTTTACGTCCTTAGTTAAGTAGACAAATTGGAAAGTTTGAGTTTTGCAAAAGATTTGACTTCATTACTTATATTTTATTTTTTCCTTTTTGTGTCGATAAGGTTACTAAGATTCCAGAGTCCAGACTACCAGAGCCCTTTAGCCAAGAAGCTTGTAATTTGACTTTCAATAACGGGCGTGCAGATATTGCAGCAGAACCTTCATCAACTTCCAATGAAACTGTAGAGCTGCTGAAAAACTTACATTTGACAAATTTGGCAGCAGAACTTTCATCAACTTCCAATGAAATTGTAGAGCCGCTGAAATACTTACATTTGACTCCATCTTCTAAAAGTCTTTCTCAGAAGAATACCGCTGACCCGGCTAAGCTAGTTCAGAGCTTTTCATCATCTGAAAACTCTCTGTCATCCGATGAATCTGACTCCCTAGACGACCAAGAAAGTGAAAGCACATGGCAGAAAGAATGTACACCGTTGTCAGATTCTGAGAGTAATCTTAATGCAGAAAGTGGCAAGCAGAAGGAGTCATTGTCAATGTCTTTTCAGGCAAATGTTATTAATACACCATCAGAACATAAGATATCCTCTCTGAGTTCTGAAAGCCCTGATTTGAAAATTGTCTCTTGTGCTGATACTTTGTTGACACAGACACCTGCACTGTCAGCACCTGAAAGATTGGTGCTCGGTTCTGATGTTAAGCTGCAGAAAATGACCGCTCAAAAGTCTACGTCAGGCTTTAAGCCCGCAAAAAGAGTGCTTGACTTTACAAGCACAGAAGGTAACGGTGATTTGGATAATAGAGTAGACCTGTTAGAATCTAGCAAAGCTATGCATGGATTTCATTGCAGCTCTAAACTTAGCAAAGGATGTCCTGAGGATTGCAAATCTTTTGATTCTGTTTCCCTACCTCGGGAGGTATGCTTTCTTGTCTTGGTTTTAATTTTTAATTAATTCTTAACATCGGACTTTGATATTCACTTATTATTCAATTTTGTTCCTTTCAATTTATCGTTGCCTGAGAACATGGACAGAAAGCGATTTTTCCTGACATTTTTGTAGTTCATGTTAAACTTGGACAAATTTTTGCGGCACTCATCAATCAATTTTTTTTCTTGTTAATTGGTTTTCTCAATGCAGGTACAACAGAATCTTTGTTATTCTTTTGAGAAAATCAACCAAAATCAAATTAGTTCGGACGCAGCAGATAATGATCCTCCATCATTAGTGAAACTGGTTAATGTGATTGACTCAATATTTAGCTCTGTCAACACAAATGAAATCACAAAAGAGGAGCTCCTGCAAAAGATAATGCGGAACTGTTTAGATTTTGTTGAGACTAGTATGTTCTAATTCTGTTTATTGTAATGCACATGGTTTCTTAGTAATAAATAAACAAATTAGCTAACTAATCTTTTCCTCCCAATAGGAGAAGCTGAAGAACAGATTAAGATTTTGGAAAAGATTCTGCCAGATTGGATTTGCAAGAAGTCGCTTGCTTCTGTAGATGGAGTCACAATGTACTGGTGAGTCTCTTTCTTTTTATGATTAAACCTTTGCGCTTTTAGAGTATCGGTCTCTTTTAGGGATATGTGAAAATTTGTGTCAGGCTTAACAGTTTGATAGCAGAACTTTTGATGGCATTAGTTAGTGTTGTTTTGAGGCAAAAATCCTGTCATTTGCTTCAAAATTGTTATTTATCAATTTTCTCTATGAAGTTCTTATTCTTATCGTTTATAAAACCTGTTACATTTGCAGCGTTAATAATGAGATAGATTTGGACTCAGTTCGATCAAGACTTCTCAGCAATGTAACCAAAGGAGACGAGTGAAAGATTTTTGTTGAACGACTACGAATGTTAATCGATGTATTGCAAATGATTGTCGGTAATGTTGTGCATTGTATGGTAATTGTTGGTTGGACTTTTACAGTCACTGTTTTGGTTACAACAACCAGCTATAGAGAGAGAGAGAGAGTGTAAGAAAGGTAAACATAGATTTTGAGGAGGGACTATAACCCTCATATTATGTGTATTATTTCTGTTCAACACTAATTTGATTTTCATTCATACCTGAGTTTCCTTTGATTATTGGAGTTATTTTTCTTTACAAGCTTTTAGTTCAACATTATATTCTCTACTTATATAGCACACCACTTGAGAAGGAATAAGGGAAAAAGTACACTACACAATGTATACTATTCATTTTCCTATTTATAAGCATCTTTTACAAATTTCAATATATTAACAAAAATAGTAATGTATTTAATGTTTTGATTTTGGACATGTTCTTGAAATATATTTTTATGCATGTATCTTTTTTTTTATCAAAATAAAACGAATAAAATTTAACCGACTAAAATTGAATCTAAAATTAATTTAAATGATAAAAAATGTAATGCAGTCTAATTTATTGGAAAAGATTTTATATTTATGGATTTAGTTTTTTCTTTATTGTTTTTTATTTGAATGGAAAATTAAAGATGGATTGGAACGTCCAATCTAAACCACATTACCCTTAAGAACACAAAAAATCCTCTTGTGCACTCATCTTAGACAATATAACTTATATTGTACTTTTTTTTGAACCAAAAAGATATATTAATTCAAAAGGAAGAGTTACAACCAAGGCAACCTCAACAGATTCAGTCAACTAAATCTACAAAAATGCTAAATCATTAATCTTGCAATGTTAGACCTAAACTTCCTATTTCCCCAGCATAATTTATAAGTATTGTCAAAAATAGTTGCATTCCTAAGAAGCCATGTTTCATGAATAGCTTCTGTAAACGCTGTTTTGAGCACAGTTGCCCGCCAGCCCTTGCCTTTGGTACTAGCCAGAACCCACTTCAATTCATCCTTCCAGACAAGGGGTTTATACCAAGTTAAAGTAGCCATCCAAACAGTAATGGTGTTAGGGCAGCTAAAGAAAATATGGTTAGCATTTTCTTCCTCCACACCGCACAATCTGCATAAGCTATCCTGAGCAATACCAAAACGCACCAACCTATCTTTAGTAGGGAGCTTCCCATGACACAACATCCAGGTAGTAAATTTCGCCTTAGGCCTAGCGTAATTATGCATAAGTAACTTACTTCAGGTACTTCTACTCAGGTCATCAATGAGCAAGGAATAAACAACTTTCATGGAATACTTATGTTGATGAAGCATTTGGTCCCAATGACTTTGGATTTGAGTAACCTTACTTCTAAGGATCATGATGTTCCTAGTGGTACACGTCCAGCTTTGTCCCACAGTTGCTTCTATATTGTACTTACCGCAAGTATAATAGACGCCCATCGTAACTTTTGGTAAAACTAATCTGAATCAAATTCTTATCTTAAATATTGATTGCCCATTGTAACTCTCGGTAAAACTAATCTGAATCAAACTCTTATCTTAAATATTGGTTGCTCTAATCAATATTCCACGTTGAAGAGATGTGTTATTGTACAACAAAATACCCTCTTTAAGATGTTTCATATTATATTATGAGTTGAATGATTTTTTGTTGTTTTTCATTCTTTAGTATATCTTAATGATTATCTTTATTTTCTCCTTTTTCATTATTTATCCCTTTGATTTAAATTTTGTTTTTGTCTTCATTTAGATTTTTGTCTCTTTGAATCTTTGTTTTCCAAGAGAGTTTTCTCTAGAATATCTGCATATTCAAATACTTCTATCTCTAAAAACTTGGGGTTATCTTTTATGAAATGTAACACATACAAATTCTTATATAGTCATAGTTTGTTTGTTAAAATAGAAGTGAAATATCTAAGAAAAAGATCTTCATCATATTTATCATCAAATTTATCAGGTTATTCTTTTCGTCATTAAAGAAAAAACACTTCCAACCCAAGACATAGAGGTGAAAAATATTTGACTTCTTTCCTTTATATATTTCATAGGAAGTGAACTTTAGAATTGACCTTAACCAGACATGTTTCATTACATAACAAGTAGTGATTAATGCATCATTCCAAAAATATTTAAGAATGTTTGTTTTGTTAAGCATCATCCTCACTAGATTTTTAAGAAATCTATTTTTTCCACTACCCACATTTTATTGTGGAGTTCCTTGAGAAGAAAATGTATGCTCTGTGCCATTCTCAATGCAAAAGTTTTTGAATTTCACATTTTGAAATTTATCTCTATGATTGCTTCTGATAGATGTAATACTTAAATTTTTTTGTTTGTTTTGGATAACCTTAACCAATTTTCGAAAGACAACGAAGACATATTTTTTAGGAGCAAGGAAAAGTGGCCACATATAAAGACAACAACCATCAACTATAACAAAGAGATAATAATTATTAAAAAAACTCATGGTTCTGCATGAATCGTCCTATTTATTTATTAGCCAAACATCATTTGAAAGTCCTTTATTAAAATAACTATAAATATTGACTTCTTTGAATAGTAAATTTGTTCAGTTTGTTTTTTCAATTTTCAGAATCTTGTATACAGATGAATAGGTAGGAGTGTTTGTAGTTCGGTTGAATCAATTTTAAAATAAAAATTTTTTCGATCTAAAAATAAATTTATTTGCGGTTCAGTTCAATTTTAAATAATAAATTAAAAAAAATATATTCGATCTGATCTAATTTAATGTAATTTAATTTAAATACTCAAATTACAAATTATATTTTTATTAATATTATAAAAATATTAATAATTTATAAATTTAATATAATATATACTATATATTATATTAAAAGTTAATATTAAAAAATGAGAATGATGGATTATAATTAAAATAAATGAAATAATAACAATAAATAAATAAAATAAAATAAATAAAATAAAAAATAAAAAATATTAAAAATAATAATTATTTAATAATAAATTTATGTAACATATCATATTAATAAAAAATAAAAAATAAAAAATACTAAAATATATATGCGGTTCGGTTTGGATCAATTTTATAAAATCAATCTGAAATTTGGTCCAAACCGTACAATTTTCACAAAATGACACTAAAACACATCTAATAAACTTTAATTTTTTGTGGTTTTTAATTTTTTTTAGATCAATTTATAATTTTTATTTAGATTGATTTGAATTTAAATATCCATGATCATATAATACTTTGTTATCTTTGTCACATAATTTATTAATACTGAGTAAATTATACTTCAATTTAAAAATAAATAAATTACAATCACTGGTTTTTATGAAAACTACTTTGTATGTGAAAATATACACAAAATGAGTAGGAAGTAATTAGAAAAAGCATGGACCCCACAAGAATTTTATAAACATAATGATTTTCATATAGGAGTTTGAAAAATAAACATGATCAGTAGTTCTCCTTTCGGTCTTTCACCTGATTATGTATTATTAAGATAATCAAACTTTTACATTTATCCTTCAACTGGTTATCTATGATGAAGCACAATGAGAACTTACATGAATGTAATGCAATAACACCAAATTAAGACTTTTACCTGATAATAACGAGAAACACAATAGTTTTATAAATGACTTATTATTAAAGTCTCCATTATCCCAAGATAGAGGACTCTTAAACACGATAAAGATTAAAGAAAAGCTAGTAAGAAAAAAGGAATTTTTTTAGCAATGATTAAGTATTAAAAAAAAAACATAAATAATTATGTTTCGGAGAAAATTACGCAAATAACTATGTTTCAGAAAATTTTATAATAGAAGAGTCAAGTGAGATGACACATGCAGTCACCTTTTTGCCCTAGGCGCTATCTCACTTGACACATGCACTTTGTTTTAGCCAAGTGAGATAACGCATGCACTATAAAAAGGAGAGGAGACGCCATCTCACTTGACTATTACGTGCAATTGTGTTTTCTATAAATAAATCACCCATTTCTCCATCATTTTTCACACTTTCTCGCAATGTCTTCTTATTTGCGTCATGACATCTCCCATGATTTTCACCAGAGATGGATACGTTATTTTCTCGGCCACCAAATCTCCGATGAAAATGAAATTTTGGCACATTCACTCCATGGAGCGTCTGAAGAGAGAGTTGATGCGATTGCTAGAGGGAGACATCGAGACTGGGGAACAAACACTACTAAAAAAAGACATTTGAGAAAAGGTTTTTACATCGGGTATCAAAATATATGATGTAAAAAATACAATTAACAAACTTTTTACATCAGATATTTATTTGCAATGATATAAAAAATAAGAAAAAAAAAATATTTCGCTACCTATTACATCGGGCAATCTCATCCACCGATGTAAAAGGTTTTCAGAAAAAAATACGGTGACATTTTTGTAAATAAGAAACAAGGTGGCAGAAATGTAAATAAAAAACAAGCAAGATATTACATCGGTTTAACTAAAAACCGATGTAATAGGTTCACAGGCAGATTGTTAATATATAAAATATATTAAAAAAATTACATCGGGGCGTATTTTAAACCGATGTAAAAAACCAATAAAAAGACGCTTGCATCGGTCCACCAACCAACTGATGTAAAAAACATCATAGTGACACGCTTGTATTGGTTATTTTCTCCACCGATGTAAAAAACTCACACGCTTGCATCAGGCCTTTTTCCACCGATATAAAAACTGCTTAGGCCCAAACCCTTACATCGGTCCCTTGATTCCACCGATGTAATAGGTTCCATATATTATTCACATTATTTCCACTGTACAATACTCTCACATCTTCTTGCCCCCGTTTCACGCATACGCCTCACTGTACGGCGACGACTCGATCTTCACATTCTCCTTCGTCTGTGGATGCAATTCGTTTCCCAGCCACCATCATCAACACTTCGACATCAACATTTCCGTCTGTGCTTCTTCGACCTCTGTTTCAGCTCATCTCAATCGGGTTC